GCATCTGAAGAAGTGAGGTTCTTACCTACGAAAGCTCTTGCTCCCAAGTCTGCTGTTAGTCTTAAAGGTGTGTCAGACTGAGAGGTTCCTGAAGTTTATAGTGTAGCTGTATTTTTGAGTTAGGATGACCAGATAGCAAGTGTGAAAAATCAGGACAGGGGGTGGGGTGGATAATAGGAGCCTATGTAAGAAAAAGCCTCAAATATCAGGACTGTCCCTATAAAAATCGGGACATCTGGTCTCACCCCACTTTGGGTTCTCTGCACTTACTGTATATGCACTTCTAAATAGGCCCTGTGACTTCAGAAAGGGCTGTCTGGCATACTCTGCAACAGGCGCTCATGCTGTGCACAGCAAGCGTAAGGATGCGTGAGAAGGTGAGTTATCTAGCAAGTCCTGACATGTTGTATCAGACACCAGTCTCATCTGCTAACTCATCTGATGCCTGTTTGCAGGCTAAGCTGACTCCCAACTCACACACACACTTAGGTAGTTCTGTTCACCCAACTTGGACACCAAGAGGATACTCTGCTTTAGTACATTGGGGCTTTAAGAACTGTATTGCCAAGTGTTCATGGCTACTCACAGTAACAAGGGAGGAAGAATAGAGCAGTTAAGAACATAATCTCTACACACAGAGCTGTCTCCAGCGATGTTCCCCAACGCCCAGACAGCCTGGAAGGAAAGAGCAGCAGTTTTAGCATTCACACAGTCTCGGAATAGAGGAAGAAGGGAGCACGGTCCTAGGAAAATGTTTCTATGACTCCAAGTAACTAGGCCAAACTGACAGACGCTCCTGCTCTGGAGCCGCTTGCCAAACACTTTCATGCATGTTAAACACTTAGTTGAAATCCAGTTTCTAGAACACTCGGCCTATCCCCAGAAAACTGTAATGAACCATACCTGTTCCTGGACATCCTCAAAGTCCGAGTTTAACAGTTCTATGAAGATAGGAACTGCCCCTGCCTCAATGACTATTTTTGTTTGTTGGGAGGTTCCTGATGCAATATTCGTCAAAGCCCACGCCGCTTCAAACTGAAACAAGCACAATAGGTTACACAACAGCTGCACAATGGCAGAAGCCCAACAACCCTAACCAGAGCAAAACATTAGCTATGGATTTCAGCCTATCCTCCTTTCATCTTGGGCTCTCACGTCTACAGGGGGAATTGTTTTACGAGGCAACAAGTTTTCCTCCATAATCTGGCTGCTCACCGAGCACGCTAGTTTCTGGTACAACAATGGTAGTTCTAGGGAAATCTACAGCTTTTTCAGGAGGGGGTGGATTTTGGGTTACCCAGGGTAGACCCTGCCCACACCCACCTGAAGCAAAGGGAATATCATTTTACAGGTCTTTGACACTGAAAAACTGAAGCAGTTGCACACGTGTCTCCTCTCTGCGCCAAGACTGCCGTTCTTCTCAGCATGGGATTAACAAGGCTGCAGCTCACTTCCACTTTTCAGTGGTCAGGCCGGAAAGCACTACCTCACCACCACCACACCCCAAAGCCTCAGACCATTCCCCACTATGAGGAATGCAGTCTCAAGGTGGCCCAGAAGAGTTCCTGACCAGATCTTTGTACAGGGTGGGAAGTGAAGAGATTGTTCTACTCAAACAGCCAACTCTATCCCATGCCACTCCCCCGGATACCAGCACAGGATTGGCATTTGTTATTCTGAGCCCCCCCAGGTGAGGCAGACCTGCATATTTTGCTCTTTATCTCCCTTTGCTGCCTGCTTTCACGAGTGACTAATGGCTAAGCTCCCATTAAATTCTCCTTGGAGATTGATCCCTATGACATGAGACCTCCTGGAGGAAAAGGAAGTAGATGACCATCTTCATAACACCCCCAGTTGGATGTGAGAAAATGGCGACTCTTCAAAGAAAAGAGGCTCATGCTCTGCAACTTCTGGGCTCCAAGATACCACCTTTGCCTGCTCACTGCTGTAAGATTCACACTGCTCAGCTCTGAAGTGTCATCTTATTTAAGTGCTTTTTATTCACAATATGAATCCTTCACGGTACTCTCCTTTACCTGTAGTGTGCAATTTTCACTTCTCTTCAGGAATTCAACAAACCTGTCCACCACTCCCTGAGTATTTATCACTTCATCTATCGGAGGATTCGGCTCTAGGAAGAAGGAGGCAGGGTCAATACTCAGTAGGGGCATTTAAATTTAATATGGAGGTCAAGTTCATTGCATTAAATCATCCACGCCAACAATTTTAACTTGTACTTGAGCTGACAAAGCAACTAGCCAGAAGAAGGCTATTTCCACAGTTCACCCAGCTGTAAGTCATGGAGCATTTTCTAAATGCTGAAAAGCCAGTAAAAGACCATACTAATGGTCAATATAGGTTTGGTATTCCCTCCCCATCCAGTGTTAATCAGGAACAGACATGGCAATGGGCATAAGTGACATTAGATGGAATTCTTCTGCCCCCCAAAGTTATTAATTCTTTGTACAGCACCAAGACTGTGCTAAGTGCTTCAGACAGCTCAGACAGTTACCTATGAGAGCTTATGAGCTAGCTAAGAAAAGGCGCTCTGCTTTTACCTTTGGAGAGCAGTTTCCTGAATTTCTGGGTGGTCGCTAGCTGCAGATCAGGGTCCTCTGAGAAAAGCATCTCTACCATCTCTCTCGTGATCACTCCCTCCTAAGACGGCAGGAAAAACAATGTCAGAACCACAACTCCAAACTTATGGTTGCAGACCTCAAAAATCAGAACAACTTAGTATCACCAGAATCCTGTGCTCATCCTTTTGATCTGAAGACTAATCCAAGTCAGGACCACACTACTCTTGAAAGTCTAATCCTGGAAGGCTTTTAAAACTCACTGGAGTCCCATCTGCAATATTGGTAGAAGTGATGAGTACATGGGGTTACGAAAGGTAGTGAATTAAGGAGTACTAGGGCATGGTACCTATGCATTTGTAAAGGGTTAAAGTTTGTTGATTTTGTGATCCACCGAATTAAGAGTCTGTAAGGGAGGGACAACGTTACTCAAGAAGCCTTACCCCAGCTGTGGCCGTGCTGACATAGGAATCCATGAGGAGGCTATCAAACATGGCAGCATCTTCATTAATAAGTTCCACATTTCTCCTTTTAAATAGCTGAAAAGAGATTACAACCAGAGTGAGTGGTATCGGTCACAAGGCAATGCCTGACTTAGAGCCATCGCAACTGGGCAGTCTTGTTCCACAAACAAAATATGCCATGTGCTAGACCAAGGGCAACTTAATAAGGGAGTGGCAGCTTAACACGCTAGCTTAGCGCCTCTGCAGAATAGTTTGACCTATGAATCCTGGTAAGAGTGGACCAAGTCCTACCCTTAGTAGTATCCATGGATTTCCCTGGGACTGTATGGCGTAGGCAAGTGCGGAACTTGGCCCAATGAGTTTAGAAAAGAAGAGCCAGGTTGTGGACCAGGGTTGAGGCACAGGTAGAGCTGTGTGGGAAGCTTGCAGCATTTGCCAGTTCTACATGTGGTCCTAGCTACAGTAACTCCTCACTTTACATTGTAGTTATGTTCCTGAAAAATGTGACTTTAAGAGGAACGATGTTAAGTGAATCCAATTTCCCCATAAGAATTAATGTAAATGGGGGTGGGGGGTGTTAGGTTCCAGGGAATTTTTTTTCACCAGACAAAAGACATTATATGTGGTTTGACTCTCAGCTGTGGCTAGGTAAGTGAATATCCTCTGGCCCCAGAGCTCTGGTGAGGGTGTGGGCCAATAACACCCCCACTCCTAGGCCTGCAGAGTCCTCCCCATGCAAGCTCTGTGGGTTTGGGCTTGACACAGGAGCCAGGCAGAGCAGGCAAGCGGCAGCACATAGGAAGGAAGGGACACTGTGCTGCATCCTTCCCCAGCACCCAGTGGGGATGTCTCTGCTGGCCTCGGAGCAGCAGATCACACAAATGCCTGACCCAGTTAGTCAATTAATCCCCCCACCTCCCCAGCACCCTGTGGGAGACCAGTTGTCTAAGAGAACCAATCTGCCAGGTTGCATGGTACACAGAGACATTGGGCCTCTAGATCCCTGCAGAGCTGGAGACAGCCATAGGCTTCTTGGGCCACAGGCACTGACTTTTCAAACTGCTGGGGGCGGGTGCTCGACCCCTGGCCCTGCCCCAGGCCCCACCCCCACTCCACCCCTTCCCCCAAGGCCCCACCCTGCCTCCCCTCTTCCTGCCCAGTTCTGCCCCCTCCCTAGGGCATGCCTTATCCTCACTCGTCCCCCCTCCCTCCCAACTTCCCTGCACGCCACAAAATAGCTGATAGCGGCGGGCAGGAGGCACAGAGACGGAGGGGGGAGGCGCTGATCCACGGGGCCCTCTGGCGAGCAGGAGGCGCGGGGGGGGGGAGGAGGAGAAGGGTGTTAGAACATTGCACAACTTTAAACAAGCATGTTCTCTAATTGAATAGTGACTTAACGAAACAACTTTAACCGGGGTGACTAAGTGAGGAGTTACTGTATCTCATTTTCACATACTCCAACTAAAAAAATACCAAGGACAAGGAAAAGCTGCAGCCCATTCATTTACTTGTTCTTCTTGCTCCTCAAGAGCAGGCAGTGCCATTTTTTAGCTGGCCGTGAAGTCCTTAGATTCCTTCCCCCCCCCCCGCAAAAGATACGAGAGTCTTCCCCTTATCCATGATCACAGAAAGCCAGACAGAATTCCACTGTGGTATCTGGAACACTGCATCTGCAGCATGTGCAATACCTGTGAATCCCACAGGGAGCAGAGAGTTCTCCAAAGGAGCCACATTCTGAACAAGGGTGTGGAAAAAAACCCAGCAACATTCCACATCCATATGCCGAAGGGGCCCAGAGAGGGGGAAAAGAGAAAAATGACCCATCAACTCTTCATCAGCTGGCCCCTTGAAGGGGCAACTGCTGGGTAACAGCATTTCTGGTCGAATTAAGCCCCTGAACATCCCCCTCCAGCAGGTTACCTGTTGCTCTCGTTTCTGTTTGCGTAGTTGGATCCCCTCCTCTTCCCTTCTCCGACGCATTTCCTCAGGGTTTAGGGCTTTGTTTTTGTAACTCTTCATTCGATAGTTATCCTTATCCTTCGCGGGACTCGCCATGGTTTCTATGAGAGAAGAAACCAGAAAAGTAGGATCAGATTTCACTGCTGTCATACTGCCCTTCTCCCCCAAGGAAAATGGGCACACATGTGCCATTGCACAGAATAGTTCAGTTTAACAATCTCTTAAGAACATAAGATGCAGTTTAGATAGCCAACTTAGAAAGGGCATTACTGACCTACAACTGGTGTGTTATCGTATTAGTGTGAGAATGTTCTAAGCTAGACGCAAACATATCTACAACTCTGAAAAGCAACCTGGACCTGCACATCACTGTATGAGGCACACTTCTCACTGTGTGAGGTTAGTACTCACTGAACTATACCATTGTCCTCAGACAGCAAGCCTGAAGCTACCTGGATTTTCAATACTTTAGACTGTGCCAAGAGTACCTGCACTGTACTATAATCACAGGTGTAAACAGCACCTTCAAAGAAGATTATTCTTCCTCTCCTCCCCACCCCACATCCTCTACAGCAGGCCAACGTGTCAAGAATTTGATGACCAGTAACCACAACATGTACTCAGACGTTTCAGAGCAGCCTGCTCTGCACTGAAGGTGTTACACTGAGTTAGGAGTTAAAGAAATTCCATTTAGACCCATTTTATGTTGTAATGTAGGGAGACTTTGCAATTTATGAAGTTCACACTTCCATAAATTTAACAGCACAAGCACAACTCCAAACCATTCAGAGGTGAACATAAGTAGGTTTTATGCCTTGTCTAGACTTCAAACAATCCAGCAAAATTCACTTCAAACAAACTTCAGCCTAATTCCAGGCCCTTTAAGAGAAATTACAAGCATGCAACACATCATTCAGCTGGGAATGGCATGTAGGCCAGGCTTGTCCAGAGAACTAGACTATTTTGATGGTTTTCAGCTCTGAGAAGCACTGCTAATTATTTTGTCATTTGTTTCATAACAATATTTTAAACTTTGGTGCCTACATATTCAACTCTAGATTCACAGAAATAAACATTCTTGTATTTGGCACAGGGAGAGCAATTATTGCTAATTAGTGGCAAAAGAGGAACTCAGAGGTAAGACGATGTAAGTTTCTCAGTGATATCCAGTTTATGCAAACATAGTACTGCCTCAATAGGGTTAAAAAAGTTTGGTATTCAAGTACAGATTCAGCCAAGCCTTTTGTTCAGTGTGTTTCAAACATTACATGAGCAGGTGTCATTCCCAATGCTGTTCTAAGATACAATTTACAGAGTGTAGAGTAATCCCTTCCCAGGAGAACAAAAACACACAATAAAGTTCAGTACAAGTCTCCCTACCCCAAAAAGCTTGGCTGCTCCTAAAATTCCTACCTCAGGACTACTCCACCTACACCCAAGTCTTCTCTAGAGGTTCTCCCTCCTCCTTTATATCCAGGTGAGTTAAAGCCACAAGCCTCAGTGAGCCAGGAGAACCCATTTAAGGTTTCCCAGCAGGAGGACGTCGGGGGGAGAGGGGAGGGAAGAGAGAGAGAGTGTGCGCGCGCGTGTATGCGCCTACTGTATTTTCCACTCCATGCATCTGATGAAGTGCGTTTTAGCCCATGAAAGCTTATGCCCAAATAAACTGGTTAGTCTCTAAGGTGCCACAAATACTCCTTTTTAGTAAGGGAAAAGGTTTTCAGGATATAGCGTAATTTAAGTTGCAAGTTACTAGCTTAGTGTAAGACAAATGTTTTAAGACCCAGTTTTAGGGTCAGCTTCTATTATAGTAGATTACATAAATGAGAGAGGTACAAGTGACCAACATCTTAATGTCAAGGCAAGTTAAATAGTCAGGAGAGTTAACCTGTGAACAGGAAAGGTAAAGATTTAAGTGAATTAGAGATCCCATATCCCAGGGGAATAAAGCCACACACAAAAAAAGGAAGAAACCCTAACAGACACGATCACAGAAAAAGAGAATCTTGTTATGGTATCTGCTGTTAGAGGACATTCTCTCCCTCAGCCAAAAAAACTGAGGGGGGACTCGTCTGCAAACACAAATAAACCAAAAAAGCCAAACTCCCCAGGATATCTGCACCACTCCATATATGCATGTTGCAAGCAGCCAGCCTCTCTACCCCATACCGTTCCTTGTTGTGAAATGGACAAGCAAGACAACGGAGGGCCAGAAAACAAAAGATGCATGAAGAGATGGAATGAGTGGCAGGATGGATTGCAAGGTGGTACAAACTATTTACTTCTAACTCTGCTCAACATCTCAAAGCCCAGCAAAAAGGCAGTTCCTTGTTGGTACAAGTTTAACTAAACTGAAGAATGAAAACTCTTTAATAAAAAAAATTTAAAAAAGGCTTGCTCTGCCTTGGTACAGCAGTCCCTGCTTACCTTCTCAGAAACAGTAAGTCAAGGACTAAAATGTCTTTTAGCGAGCATTGATCCTGGATCACTGCTTGGAAAAGTTTATACAGCCTGAAAACATCTGTAATAGTTCCAAGCATTTCCAGCCCTGGCAGATCATACAACCTCAAGCACAACCATTGGTCCCTCTTCTAAATGGCAGTGCATTTTTCACTTACCAAGGCCCTGTCTATACTACAGCTAAGTCAGGGACCCAGGGGTAATCTTATTTTTTGTCAAGGTCCAAATTTCTTGGTCAAAGTATAGTCAAGGTCCAGACTCCAGAGAAAAATACAAAATGCAACAGTAGTGATAAATAGTAAGTAAATAAAAAGATTTCACAGTGTGTTCAAAAGCATCTAGTGGTCCAGACTTGGCCTGCAGTCCATCTATTGACTGCTCCCTGCAGGGAGCCTAACTACAACAGTTACCTCTTCTAACAGGCAAGAGGTAACCAAGTCCCTATGACTCGGACAAAACCTTGGACTAGGGGTTTCACCCAGTTAGAGGAGTAGTGTAGAACTATATCACCCTGTCACAGACAGATCCCCCCCGCCCCCACTACCTTATAGTTATTCTATGGATGGGGCTTCTGCTCTGCACTTCAAACCAATGTAGTTTTTACCCCCTGGCAAAAAGCCTCATAAGACTATAAATGGGCCTGAACTGAAGGCTGGATCTGGTCACTGATTTGGTTTGGGTCTGTCTCGTGTTTGAAGTTCAGAGGAATAACTGGCAATTTCCCAAGAATATACTTAATGTAGCAGTTTTCCTTATTCTAAAGATCACCAGTTATGCATGACTAGCCCTTGAAGATGGATTTTCTTCACTAAAGATGAAAGTGAAGACCATGTGGAAACTAACTTCTCCCACCTGCCTCCCCCCAGCGCAATTGTTATGGCAGGCTTAGAAAGGAGGCAAGAATTAAGTAATAGCAGCTGAATCAGAGGGTAGGAGCTGATTGAAACCTATTAAGATCCTTATTCATATTGTACCAAGACATCAAAATAGGCACATTAGAAATACCAAGGTAAGTGGTCAGCACAAACTTTAATTGGGATGAAACGATACAACAGCATTAGTACCACACCTATAAGTAACCATACTGCTATCTTAACATTAATGGCTCTATTACAGCTGCATACAGTAAACTAACTGCAACTAGTTGTGTTCTGAAAGATTACAAAGGCATCCTAAAAAAATCCAGATCAAGACTTCCCCTTCAAAAAGTGACGGCTCAAGTTAGAGGCAGTTTTAATGAACAGGAGAAAACAAAACAAAAAGGGAGGAGGAAAATAGTTAAGTGGCTTAGTACGACATACAGGATTACTAGCCTGTTAGTCATATAAATAGCCAAATGACACATGACAGTTCAGCTGCCTGGAAACTTGCACAATCCCAATCTCTGTTCCTGGCTGGGCACGCCTTGGTGCTCTGGACAGCTCTCTTAGGTTCTGGACGCCAGGAAAACAGTGAAGTGAGACCAGCACCAGATGGAAGTCTCATCAGGATCCAAGTTCTTAAAATGTGCCAAGTTTGCCGTGTACCTCACCCGAAAGAGCCTTATGGATCTGAGCGGGCTACAAATGCTGGGAGGCCCTGTAGATTCAGCAAGCCATTCAACAGGGATTTACATACTGGCTAAAACAAAGCACAGCAGACTTCAGACAATTTACCTGGCACTCGATTTTCCATTACCTCTTGTACACATTCACTAGTTCAGGTGCTTTCATCTGACTCTTTTCCCAGGGAGTCTTCTCCTTGATCCTCTAGTGAAGTCGTAATGCTGAATTTGTGACATTACATCCCATTTCCATGGCAACAGAGATGTCACAAATTCAGGATTAGGATTTCACTACAAGCTCAGGCAGCAGGAGATGGGCTGTGAAGTACAAGCTCTTCAGCAAAAGCAAATAGACGGAATAGAGAGCACCTTGCCAAGGAAAAATGCTTTGTGCACAAGTTGCTTCTTTTTAAGTTTGTTCCAGTGAAAAAGTCCCTATTAACCCAACCTACCTGCAAGTCAAGCCGTGTCAATGTTAACTATTAACCCAAACTTCACCACTGCTCAAATACTTGCAGGACAGCCCCACTGAGTAATGCTAGTCACAGTTTAAAATCTTTAGCTGCTAGGAAGAGCTATCAACTGTTAAAGCTCCAAGACGGCCTAAAATATTGAAGACAGATGTTTTAAATGCCACTCAAACCACACACTTCCACTTGGTATTTTAATGCCCTGAGTTGGTGCTTTAAAATGCTATGTTTCTCACAACCAGAAGGGCTGTAGTTTAAGGTAAACCTGGATATCAGCACTTTTCTTTTAAAAAAACTGCTCTAGAGTTTTAGATGTTGATAATCTAGAAATTTTGCATTTATATGGCTGCTCTGAATTTGGAGGATCCCAAAGCATTTTACAAGGTAAGTTGTTCTGACTCACTACAAGGGTGCCATCTATCCAGTCACCTTGAGTTCTCGTTGGGAGAGGGTTTCCCCTCTACAAGCACTGACTCCGTCCTACCCATTAAGTCAAGATCTGATGAGATCACTGCCCAAAATCATCAAGTTGTGTCTCTGCTATCCCAAAAAAATGTACTGGGTAGTGAACCAGTCAGGAGGCTGGGATTCCCAGCTTAACTACTGTGCTTGTCAAGGAAAACCAATGCAAAGAGCTAATTAAAAGCAAACTATTCTCCTCATGGAAGACTTCAGAAGAGCAAGTCTCTGCCCCAGAATGCTGCTCAAGCAACATGCTCAGCTTGCCCAATGGCTCCCCAGAGTGGGGAATGGCCTCTACATTTGGTAGCAAACCCTCTGGCCCTTTTGGCAGCAGCAGCGCCATGTCCTGCCCTCCTCCGGCAACATGCTCGTCTTGGGGTTGGAGAAGACTCAAAGGGAAAACCTGGACATAAGAGCCTGAATTCAGGAGACTCCTGCAAAGGGGACCATGAACATCCTTTTCTCAGGACAGCAAGGCAGCAGCACGTCCAGCCTCCTGTACTTCATTTCACCAGCTTGCCCTTGGTCCTCACTCTCATCTCATGTTGCCAAGGGCAGCAACACTC